TATTGTGGTTATGTTTTAAGTGTCTATTTTTTAGAAATACATACAGATGTACTTAGAAATATTTGATGGAATTTCTTGAATTTGCTTTACAATAATACCAGGGCAGGATATGGATGAAACACAGTTGGCCATGGTGATAATTGTTGAAGCTGGGAGAAGGGAGAAGGTTGTTTATGATACTATTCTTTCAAGTTTGAAATTTTCCATTAAAAAAAAATCCCTTCCAAGCTGGGCGTGGTGGCTCACGCCTGTAATCCTAGCACTCTGGGAGGCTGAGGCGGAGATTGCTCGAGGTCAGGAGTTTGAAACCACCCTGAGCGAAGACCCGTCTCTACTAAAAAATAGAAAAATTAATTGACCAACTAAAAAATATACAAAAAATAGCCAGGCATGGTGGGCATTGCCTGTAGTCCCAGCTACTTGGGAGGCAGAGGCAGGAAGATCACTTGAGCCCAGGAGTTTGAGGTTGCTGTGAGCTAGGCTGACGGCACGGCACTCACTCTAGCCTGGGAAACAAAGTGAGACTCTGTCTCAAAAAAAAAAAAAAAAAAATCCCCTCCAAAAGCAAAAGTTTTCTTTAAAAACCTTCAACATTTGCTATGTCTGTCTCATGTGTCCCTAAGTTACCTCTCTGACCTCCTTCTCTACTACCTGGACACCTCTATATACCTCTACGGGTCTTTATTCAAATGTCACCTTTGGACTGAGACTTTTCCCATCATCTTTTAAAAAAACACATCCCTATAGGTAAATGCTATCTTCCTATGTGCTACCCTAGTTTTTTTCTATAGCCCTCATCTTCTGACATCATCTTCTTCATCAGTTCATAACTAACACTTACATAGCATTTAGTTTGTGCTTGGCACAGTTCTAAATTTTCTACACGTGCACACACATTCATTTCCTTATCCCTTGATTAGGTCAGCATCCTTCAAGGTGTTTCAGATTAATTATTACCAACCTAGCCCAACCTCCAACAAAAATGAATTCTTTCAGTTTCTAAAGAACCACCACCAAAGGACAGCTGGAAGAAAAGAGGCAGGGTGAAAATTATTAAGGGTATCTTGATTAAGAAACAGTTGATATGTGAACAAAACCCACAACAATTCCAAGTGGTATTGTTTGGAAAAACAGAAAGCAAAAAATCTACCATCCTTATTTCACAGTATAATAGAAGATACTTGAAGTTAATAACGAATTATTTCTCCTGTACTAAAGCAAAGGCCAGCCTTCTTGCAACGTTGTTTTCAAATGACCAAAACACAGGAAGCCCAGGCTAAACTAATCTAGCCCTAATTGTGCAAGCACAGGGGTGAAGGGAAGATCCAAACATCTCTCCAATATATTAATATTCACCAAGTGTAGAGCAAATGGCCATGAACTTGGCAATGCCAACATGGACATGTTTACCTTTCAGAGGCTAAATCTCTACAAAACCAAGAGCCTAAACTAAGAATAAGGGAGGGAGGGAGGGAGGGAGGAAAAGTCAAACCAAAAAAACCCCAGATTTTTACATAGATCACAGGACAAATCAAATGTTTTGGCCATTGAGCTGTATTTTTTAAAAAAAACACCCTTAAAATATGCACATATAGAAGTGCAAGTCTCCTCCCAGATTTAAAGAGGCCATCCCAAAAAGTGTATTCTAAAAACAATGTTCAAATAGAGAGAGAGGAAATAGGGAAGTACCCTACATACACTCTGGGGACTCAGCTGTTTTCGAATCCACTACAGCTTGCTGGAATAAAACAATGTAGAAGAGGGTAAGTAGAAAAAATATCTCCACCTCCAATTTTCATCACCTAAAATCAACTAGGAAAAAGCACATGTTGACTATGAGTATTTTTCAAGGCTACCTGCCAAAGAAACCTTTCAGGTCTAATTTACATCCACTTCTCTTAATAAATGAAAAGCTAAGGATCATTGGAACTAAAGCACTTATTTATAAAAATGATTTTTCAACATGATTGTTGGGCAAAGCACATTGTGTACAGTTTATTTCACCTTCTACCCATTTGCCACTTTCCACCCTACTGATGACAAAAACACTTGAATCTGAAACAGTTTTTACACCCTGAGAAGTATTTTACTTTCACTGTTCATACGTTCCAGTAGAAACAAAGCATTCGTTCCACATGGAGTTATTATCACTATTTCATGAATCAGAGAACTGAGACCCAGAGAAAGGAAGCAAAGGTGATGACCACAAAGTCACTCAATGGTATGCTCAGAGTTCAAACCCTGGAACCTTGCTCCAGAGCCTCCAATCTCACTGTTCATGTCGCCTCTATGCATGGGATAAAACACAGTTCAGGAGTTAAAATACATACATACGTACAAACACACACACGAGACCCAGGCAAATATAATTTGTATGCCAATCTGAGAAAAATTACTTCTTAGCTGTGTGACCTTGAGCAAATCACTTAACCTCTCCATGCTTCAGTATCTTTACAGGATTGCTGTGAGAACAAAAAGAATTGTAACATGTGTATCTCAGTCTGGTGCACAACATTCTATGAAAGCTAGCTTTATTATCACCATCATCATTATTGCATAAAGATTTACAGTTCAGTATCAGACAGCATAATTAAGGAGACCTAGTTTAATGTCCCAACCTCTTAACTGAGTCATCCTTCAACTTCTTTGCATTAAAATGGGAAAACCAGTCAGAGATCTTACTGGGTATCACAAAAAGATGCAATATGACTAACAGGCACTAGGCATTACTAAAGTTGTAATTTCTGGAAGGCTGGACACACTTATCCAAGAAGAACTGCTTGAACTTTTACAGCAACACAACCAACCATGCTAATCTCTCCTTTCTGTACTAAAAATACAAATCTACATTTATTTTAGTACCAAAGGAAACTATTCAAATTTGTCAGTGCTGTTATTTGTGTGCCTTCAGATGGGTGGGGAAAATGTGTCAACAAGCAATGCACTTTCTTTAGCTCTTCACTTATTTCCCTGTAAAGACCATTCAAATGAAAATGCTCACTCTGGGATGTTTGTTTATCCTGGGCTCTGACAGCATTTTCCCTGTGGCAGAAAACAAGAACTCAGAATGACAACAATGTTTTTGGACTTAAATGGTTGCATAAAGACTATGTCTAATCAAATCTAAACCCCCAGAGAGAGTATGCCCCTCAATTTTCATCACCATTCCTAGCACCTCCCCCACTTGGTACAGGCCCTAAAGTAGTTGATGAAAAAGGCAGAGTTCCTGCCCTCTGCTGTCACACTGTGATGAGCAGTTTCACCTGGCAGTGCAATGAAAAGGAACTGCAACAAGAAGTTGTGACGCAGACGCATCCTGACCCTTTGGACAGGTAATTATGAAAAGCCCAGCACTACTGTAAAGTTGCTGCCTTAATTCTGCTCCAAACTAGGTTCTGTTGGTGGCTAGGTTCTGTGTTGGCAGCAATGCAACGATGCCTTCATTTGGGAAGATCATACTTTATATAATGTCCAAAACCACCTCCCTCCCGACTCCAGTTCATGTATCTTCCAAACCACCAGTGAGGTAGGGCAGGAATATCCTCCCCCTTCTCGCGCAAGAGAACTGAAGTTCAATTAGGTTTGTTGACTTGCCAAGATCTCATCCCTTATTTGACTTTAGGACAGGGTCTAAGAAACCCGAGTTTACCAACTGTCTGTCCTTTGCACTCTCTCACCAGGTCTTCAATTCAAAGATCCTTCCAAAACCCCCTGTAATAACATTACGGGCAGCCCTTGAATAGACCCTTTCCTTTGAGTCTTAATTCTCATTTATGGTGAAATAATTCTTCCTCTGAAGGTTCTCCACATTCTCCAAGCTGACAGCATCAATTTCGCAGGGGATCGGGAGCACACCCTACGGCGTGGTGTGGCCACGCTCAGGTGGGTGGGGGTGAGAGCCGCAGGGCCCCGCTCCCCGCTGCACTCTCTGCAGGTGGGCTCCACCTGGGGCGCTCAGACCAACTACACGCCGCGCTTTCCCACTCTAACGAAGCTCAGTTAAGTAGCAGAATGTTTGTTTCTCTTGCCACCAGAGATCCATGGGTTTGGGCGTGCTAGGGAAGCGGTCAACCGCCGTCCGTTTGGGCGCATCTGCAGAACCGAGAAAAGCCACCGCGCTCGGAACACAGCGCCTGGGGCCACCAGGGCGCAGGCTTCGTACTCACTGAGAATCGCCCCGCGTAAAAGTGCCCTGAGGTCCCGCCCCTGCGCCCTTCCCGGCCCAAGCCGAGCACAAGGTCGCTCTCGCTTTGCAAAATCAACGCTATAAAAGCCGCCACCCTGCCGAGGAGCCCCTGTCTATAGTCTCCAAGCGGTTCCCGACACTGCCCTGACCTACCTTGAGATCCCGGGATCTCTGCTCTGCACAAGCCTCTCTGGGACCCCTTCCACCATCCCTCCTCTCCCTCGGCGCTCCTTCCCCTCCTCCCAGCCCGCTCCCGGCCCCGCTCCGCCTCACCCCCGCAATGGGAAGCCGCGCGAGTGGGCGCAGCGCGTCTGATCTCGGTTGTCGCGGCCCCCAGCAGCTTTCAGTGGTCACTGCGCTCCCCAGGCAGCCGGGAGAAGGAGGGGGAAGCGACGCCTGGTCGCCGCCACGCCCCCTGCAGTCCCCACCTCCCACACCCGCCGCTGCTGCACTCGGAGAAGCTCCCCAGGGAAGAAAAGCGCCGCTCCCTGGCCGGCTGTTCGCACCGAGATGGAAGGCACTTGGGTTCCCTGGGCACCCTGCAGCCGTGCCTCCTGCTCCCGGCGACCCGAGCGGGGGACAGCCAGGACCCCCCGTGCGCCCCTCTGGGCGCCGCTGTCCTCCCCGCGGGCCCAGACCGAGCAGCGCTTTCAGGGGTCGCAAGGAGATAAACACAGACTTGGCAGAAATCAGAAATGAGTTCCCGACCCCAAACGCCCCAAGCAGCGGTATTTAGCATTCAGTACAACTGCCTGAAATGCAGAGTGAGTGAGTAATCTGGGTGAATCTGCCCTGAAATCGACCTGCAATTTACCCGCGGCTTGAACTGCCCGCTTCAGACCTGGCGCCCCAGCTGGCTGCTCCACGCGGAGTCCGACTTAGCCGTCTTCACCGTCAGTAATTTGTTCAACCTGCTCGTCACCTTGTCCTCTGGCGGCAGGGTTTGCAATCCAACCACAGGTGTGCCGCGGACAGCCCCGATGTCTGAGACCGTGGTGGTGCTGGGAGGACCTGCTAACCAACACAGCAAGTTTTCACAATGGAAACCTACGCCCTGTTAGCAGGGCTGAGCGCACGACGCCCCTCCGCCCCTAGGGGGCTGCAGCGCCCTAATTGCTCTGGGGAAAGGGTCTCCAAGCTAGCTGCACCTAACAACGATTCAGCTGAGCCTTAGAAAAGTACCTTGGAGAAACCAAATCCCATCGCACTCTCCTTGGTTCCCTGACTTTGTCCTTTGTCATTTCCAGGTTGTGGAACAAAGGCACTGGCAATTTGGGCTTTATTTGCCAGGTATCTGTGGAACACCCTGGTCCCTGGCACATCCTGGCATGGAGTGGTTAAGAGGCGACACCCCATATCAGTCGCTATGAAATTATGAATCCATGTGACAAAGTCCAGTGAATACTTGCTGCCAATCTCCTCGTTTCGCTTTGGGGGCAGCCTGTTGGAACCTAGACAGCTTGAACCTGAAGGAACTCTGGATATTTGGAATTCCAAATACAATATCCCAGGGATTCAGGTCAGCTGAAGTTCAGCCCACTGGGAAAGGCTTACCTTTAAGGAGTCAGAAAGAAAAGGGTGCTGCAATGCGCCAGGTACTTTCCCTAATTATTTTGAGCAATCCTATCAACATCCCTGAGAATAAATCATTGTTCCCATTTCACAGAGGGAAAAAAATGTGTCTTAGAGAGGTTGAGTAACTTGCCCAAGGTCACACAGTGGGCTTTGAAGGCAAGCGTGTCTAAGGCCAAACCCGATGTCCAATTTCCACCCCGCCAGCAGCAAGAGAGAAGAATAATAAAGGGACCAAGCAAGGGCCCGCTTCAGGAATATATAAAGGGAAAGAAGAGTCCAGGGGGAGCTGAAAGAATCTTAAAATGAACAAGTGTCATGCAAGTAAATCAGTGAGTGAAAAACAAACAAACAAACAAACAAACAAAAACTGCTAGGTGGCAGACTGGCCATAGTCCAAGCAAGAAAATAATTCTTTAGGGAGACTAGGAAATTTTGGACCAAGATGATGTCAGTTCCTTCCAAAGCCACTTTGAAACCGTTTTTACCCAAACTGCCATAAAGCTGGCCTGTGCACTGTCACATGGGCATCCTGCTAAATCTGAATATACACATTCAACATCTAGTCACAAAAAAGGGCCACATTCGGAAAGAGTATCTCTAGGACTAAGAAGGAGAGTTGAGGGACAGATTTTCCAAGTTAGGAATACTCACTGGAGTTCTGCTCTGTCCCCTCTGGGATCTGGAAGTAGAATTCCCCAAGCACTAGATGCTGAGGGGTAGGCTTTCCAAGACTGCACAACTGATTGGTTAATTCTGAGAAAGTCGCTGATAACTACAAACCGAGCACAGTGCAGGAAAAGCAGAGGCTGGTTTTGTTTTGTTTTTTTCCCATGGGGAAGGTGAACTTCCATTGCACAGTACCCTCCAAGACCTGGGGCTTGAAGGCCAGGAGAGTGCCAGGAGCAACTCACCGCTCAGCCAGGCTAGCTGGGCTCACGCCAGCACCCGTTGGTCACACACAAAGCTCCATTGTGGCCAGGACAGCCTCTAGAAGACTAAAAGCCTGGCAGCTGCCCACCAAAACCCAGCCAGACTTCACAAGGAGTGATTTGTGCTGTGAGCAGAGCTTTGACCCTGGTTTTGAACTCAGCTGACGGAGTCAGCAAAGGGGAAATCAGTCTCCGTACAAAACAGGAAGGAAATGAGATGAAATGAACTGTATAATGAGCTACCAAAAGGGGCCTGATGGCATCGTCACAACACAGAAGTTTGGGGAAGAGGGAGTAGAAGTTTGGGGAAGAGGGAGTGCGGATCCTGCTCAGGAGGGAAGCCAAGACACGCACCAGGAAGAGGACAGCCAAGGGAAGCTCAGGCAGCATCCGAATGCTGTGTCTGTCCCTCACCCACCGGCCATCTTTACCCTCCCATCAAAACAAACAAACAATCCCTTTCCCTTTGATCCTACTTGAAGAAACTACCTCCCACTTAAGCAACTCCTGCCTCTCTGCTTACCATAGACTAGAGCCACAATTAAAGATAAAAATCTAACTCTGTCCCAGGGGACTGATAGCCCTGTTGGCCCTTTTTAGGGAGGTGAGAGAAAAGTGGTCTCATTGATTCAGATTTTTCTACAAAGCATTAAGAACAAAACAAATGAATTTCTCAATAAATTATTAGCTGCAACAAAGTAAAAATGGATCCCTCAATATATTATCTTGCCAAAGTGGTTAAAAAATTATGCTTTACCAGTACAATGAATACCAGTGGATACTAATAGAAGTTGCATCTCCATAAAGTAGATGGATCCAACCAACAGCTTCTCTCCCATGGATTCATTTCACCAACCATTAAAGTCAGTCACCTGATTTAATGCTCTGATTTCATGCTTACCAAGCCAAATTCTACGAAAAAATTAATTTTTCTGTGCCAATTTGCCTACAAGACAAGAAGGCACTGACTGATCAACATGGGCATTCCCACATACTCCACTCCCTTAAAGTTATATTTTCATTGTAAATAGCAGTAAATTATCATTCTTGCATATATTAATCTCTAGTGAGTTTGGTCAGATTACATCATACCCTGTGGTAGGCAGAATAATGGTGTCCCAAAGATATACACATTTTAATTTCAGGAGACTATAATTATGTTACATGGCAAGGGGGAATTATGGTAGCCAATAGAATTGAGGTCACTAATCAGTTGGCTTCAATATGAGGAGATTGTCCACATGGGCCCAATGTAATCACAAGGGTCCTTATGGTAAAAGAGTAGGGCAGGGGAGTCAGGGTCAAAGTGATTTGATGTGACAAAGTATTGACCAACGATTGCTGGCTCTGAAGATGGAAGACAGCCATCCATATGCAAACAATGTGGGCAGTATGGAAAAGACAAGGAAACAGATTCTCCCCTGGAACCTCCAGGGGAAGCTGACACCTTGATTCTAGCCCAGTGAGAGCCATTTTAGACTTCTGGCCTCCAGAGCTATATGATACTAAATTTGTATTGTTTTAAGGCACTTAATTCATAGTAATTTGTTACAGCAGCAATAGGAAACTAATACAGACCCCAAGAGACTGAGTGATTTTGGTTGCTCTGATGAAAAGCAGTTTCTGGAGCTGCAAAGTAGTAGACCTGCCAAGTGGCTTCCTGGAGTCCCCCAGAAATATCTCAATTTCATTTTCCTCTCAAATCATCAAAGTCCTTTGAACATAATATAGGCTCTTAAAAACATCTGTTGAATAAGTGGATTTTGGCAAAATAGAGAGTCTGTGAGCCATGACTGGTGTATTTTTGATGGTCTGAAAACTTTGAGGATTAACCATTTCTCTCTCTGACTAGTTGTGGATGACTGCCTCCAATATCAATGTGATAGCTAATGTTATGTGTCAACTTTACTAGATCAGGGATGCCCAGATATCTGGTTAAGCATTATTTCTGGGTGTTTGTGGTTAATATCAGTGGCATTTGAAGTGGCGGATGCGGTAAAGTAGATGGTCCTCCCAGTGCAGGTGAGCATCGCCCACTCCCTTGAGAGACTAACTAGAGCAAAAGACAGAGGAAGGAGGGGTTTACCCCTTCTTCCCCATCTCGCTGCTTGAGCCAGAACAACTCATCTCATCTTTGCTCTCCTCTGGTTCTCAGGCATTTAGCCTTGAACTGTGCTGTACCACCAGCTTTCCTGGGTCTCCAATGAGCAGACGGCAGATCGTGGGACTTCTCAGGTTTTATAATCACATGAGCCAATTTCCCATTAGGGGCCGAGAGCCAAGTTCCCCTTGGCCCTCTGAAGGTTCACTGAAAATTCAATGACAAGATACAGAATAATAGGAGAAAAGGCATACAAATTTATTTTAATGTGTATACATGGGAGCTTTCAGAATAAAGACCCAGAGATACAAGGGAAATTGTCCATTTTATGCTTAGGTACAACAAAGTATGGACAGGTTTGTAGAAATATGATTGGACAAAATGGTGTGATCCAATACTAATAGACTGAGTGCAGAAACCCAGCAAGGCCTGTCTGTCTAGATTCTTCTCAGCCCTGGGCAGCATCCTTCCCTCTAGGTGTGGGGCAGGACCCCTCTGGAATGGGGGTCTTATGACCTACAGTCAAACAAAGTAGGTCAGATCATGTCTTTATGGCCAGTTTTTACACAGAATATTTTTAGGTTTTATGGTTGGCTTTTGGAAAAAAAGAGGTTTTGTCTGATTTCTATGACCCACCTTGGGGAAGAGGGATTCTAGTTTCTGTGGGTAGCCTCAGGAGAGTGGGACTGGAAGACAAAAGGGCAGGAGAAAGTCAGAGAAAACCTTTTGCTTCTGAGGCCCTCATTTTGGGGTACTTTTTTCTGAACCTCAATACAATCAAGAAATTGATAGTTAAATTACATGGACTTAACAGCAAAAGTATTGTAGACAGTAATACCCAGTTCCTTTTTCTACCTACAAGGAAACTATGCATTCAGTTTAAACATCAATGCCTAGTCTTGGTATATAGCAGTGACTTCCCTCATACAAGAGGAAGCTTCATTTCTATTCCCAGGCGTGTGGAAGCTCTTTAGTCTTGCTGGTGAAAGAGCTTGTGACATTCTGGTCAACACAGCTGGCACCCATATCATGCCCAACACTAAACACTAGGCCTGTTTGAAGCAGGAAGACAAGTGGAGCATATCAATGAATCATTACAGCATTCAGTCAGCTAAGACGGGCTCCCGAGAGGCCTGTTGTCATTCTCTGGTGTTGGAGTTGCTGTCACAGAGTCAAACCGAGTGTAAATGAAAAGGTCCCTTGAAAAATACCATCAGTTGGAAGTTGCTGGCTCAAAAGCCCTCCTGGGCAGAGACGTGCTTCATTGTATTGGGTTGTGAGCTCTTCGTAGCAAGAGCTGATGGTGCACTGACTAGCTACACTCACTGGGCCCCTGTGGGCATGGACATTTTTTTTTTTAATGTTCATTGTTTCTAACTACTGCTGTACTTCTATGGCTTTAAAGCAGTCCTGTTTGTTAAAATGATGAAAAGCATATCAGTCAACAGAAATATGTGCAAAACATAAAGCACAAAGAAAGCCTGGTTGGTTTATGTTGAGCTTGGCGGGACTAAAGAATGCAGAAGGCTAGAGATGGGAGTCTGAAGCCACTTTAAGGAGGTGCAGCCTTATTCTAAGAGCAATGGGAACTACTGAAGGGCTGCAAATAGTAGGAAATAACCAGGTTGGGAGTCTATTGATATTTGCATTTTCCTTCCTTGGTGACCTAATAAAGTTATTCCTTAAGGCAGTGCTTTCCAAACTTTAATGTGCATAGGAATTACCTGGAATCTTGGTAAAGTATAGATTCTCATTTAGTAAGTCTAAGGTGGGGCTCTGGCAGCTGCAACAAGCATGCCAGGGCTGCTGAGGCAAGGCCTGGTCTTTGAGTAGCAAAGTCCTACACAGGATCACTCATGAGCGTCCACCATTGGCTTTTCTAGAGCCTACAAGGTGAGGGAGCAGCTGGAAGGCATACGCAAAGGTCTTTTCCATCCTCAGATAGCTGCTCATTTTCCTAGGGTAACCTAATCCTTCAGGCAGAGAACATTGTGGCAATGTCATTAGTCGTTCATTCTGAGTGCTTTGTGTTACTCAGACTATGCTCTTTCAGCTCAGAACTGTCTGTCTCATCTTGTTCTCCGTGTGCTCAATTACCAAATGGGCTTTGAAATTCCTTTTTCTTGCTGTCAGCAGTAGATTTGTTACCTCCCAACTGGAGGGGTTCCTTCACATGGCAGGTATCAAGTCAATAGACACAGCCAAGTTGGTTATAGCAAGGGAGGTTTATCACTTGGCACAAGTAAGGAGCACACCGGAGATAGTTCTGAAAGCAGTGTGTCCCTCAACAAGGGGGTTGGCTGGTTTTGTAGTCAGAGGGTAACGAGGTGTGATCTGATAGGATCTTGCAATGGGGTGATGCCAGGGCTCGATCTGATTGGATCCTGGATCCTGCCATGCAGTGTCCACTTCTTTTATTTTTTTTACTTCAGAATATTACGGGAGTACGAATGCTTTGGTTACATAAATTGCCTTTGAACCCCCAAAGTAAGAGCTACAAGTGAGCCCATCCCCCAGACAGTGTGCACCACACCCATTAGGTGTGAATTTACCCATCCCCTCCTCCCCCTCCTACCTGTCCCACACCCAATGAATGTTACTTCCAGACGGTGTCAACTTCTTAATTCAGTCCTAAATCCTCAGTCCAAACACTTAGGTTTCACCCGTGGTTGCACTTTTGGTTCATCTGGGCATGCTCAGGTTACATAACCTTCAGTCTGGGGGTCCATGGCAACTTAAAAACAACTCACAACTTTGTTTTGTAAACGTTGAGCCACATTGGTCTGATGTGGTTACAGATCTACTTTTCCATTTCTTGAGATTGACATCAAGCTAAGAACACCAGATCCTCCAAATGTGACCACTGGGCCTTAATTTGAATAGTTTAGTGATGTGAAGGGAAGTTGTAGATAAATAAATTAGAATCTTTTAAGCTGATGTTGCAGAGAGAGAAACATGGGACTCCTCTAACCTTTGTTTTGGTCAGTACAGCATGTATATATCTCCCCTGTTGTGCAAACTAAAATAAAATCTTAAGCCTCCCAGCTGACTAAATGGACCCCTCTTGGCCAAGGGGACCCCCCCACACACAAAAA